GCGGTGTTGTTGCTCAGCAGGTCCGGCCTGGCTTTGGACTGCGTTCTTTCCAGCCCGGGACTCTGCGCCTGCGCCCGCCCCGCAGCCGGCGCGGCCGCGCTTTCAGCTGCTGCGCGCTGCCTTGGGATCCGGGCGACCCATGGGTAGCTGCGAGGGCCACGATGACAGATTACGGCGAGGAGCAACGCAATGAGCTGGAGGCTCTCGAGTCCATCTACCCCGATTCCTTCACAGGTGATTTTCGCAGCCGCGAGCCCACAGCTGCCTCGACGTGGAGTGGGATGGGCAGGAGCCGCCTCAGGCCTAAGTCTCCCTGGCTGGGATGGAGAGGGGACCTTGAGGCCGCGTGGCCACTCCGCCCGCCACACCAAGTTTTTCAGCCGCTTGCCAGTAACTCAATGGTTGTTTCCCCTTCTCCGATTGTTCGCTAAGATCTGAAAAGCGGGGTGACGCTGGTGAAGTCCCTGGAAACTGTCAGGCCTGGAATTGGGTCGGGAGCACGTTGCTTTCTGTGTAACCTGAATCCATCCGAGATTCAGTGAAATACACTAAAAGATACTCCGAATGAGATTTGTTTTTCCAGAGCCGCAAAGGTCTGAGTTTTCACGTACTTACCCCTAACTCGATAGAAGATGTGTTTCATAGGATGATGTTTGAAAAATTGTGGGATTCCCAGTGCTCTTCTTAGAGCAACCTAGAATCAGTGTTGAGAGTAGCGTAATCCCTGGAGTTTGTCGACTTTCTTTCTTAAAGAGAAAGAAAAAGAAACACAACTTCTCTCCCTGGCATTCTGCAAAATGCCTCATGAATGATGTGGCCCAAATTTCTGTTCCGCTATAGTTTTGTAGGTTGTTAGGCTGGTACGGATGTTAGACATCTAGTTTGAGACTTTTGCTACAAGTAAGATAACGGAGGTTCAGGAAAGGAAAGTGGTTTGCTTGCTTTGGTACCGCCTGCGAGTTAGTGGCAGGGATGGTACTAAGTATTAGGTCCTGTACTCTTGTCTTTTTTCCTCTTCTAGGCTTTGGGGCTTGATATGAAAGAAAGCAGATTACTTATTGGTTGGGCTAAGATAAAATATTAGTGAGAAGTTCATTAGCTATATTGAGAATTCTTACGTATTTAGTCATGCTTCAGTTGATTCTGAAAGTGCGATAAGGTAATTCTATCAGTATAGCTTCTCTCAGATTTGAGAAGTCCAGGTAAGGCCATTATGAATGAGTAGGCATTCCCCATCCCTTCCTTTAAGTGCTGTCTATCATAGATATCAGAGTGTAAAATGTATTACTTGAGGTCATAAACTGTAACCCCTCTCCCTTTCATTGTTTAAGTTAGTTTTTCCTTGGTTCTGCCCTTTGATCACTACTTGCAATGGTAGCAAATTTTGTTCTGCTTTGCCAACAGGCAGAAGTGTGTCAGCTACCCCAGTATAGCTCCAGTCCTGTTCATGTTGTCTCTTACCAGCAGTACAACTGTGCTGTGAGGATGTTAAGGGGATGAGTGAAGAGGGGTTTGAGAGTGTCATTACCTGGGTGAGTGTGTATGGAGTCTGGCTCCCTTCTCTATCCTTGCTTATATGTCAATGTCTAAATAAAATGGAATACCAGGGTCAGTTGTTGGATATATTCTTAATGGTGATGTTTGGTGGTTTCTAATAATTTAGACTTATCACAGACATGAACTCTGTAGGTAGAGGCAAATCAGCATAGTTGTGATATTCTTTTTTTTTTTTTTTTGGATGTTAAGGTATCTCTTACTATTATATGTGCATATAAATAGTTAGGAAAGTGATAGGTTTTTAACCCTAAAATAGTTACGTAAGTATTTCAAATTGTATTATGCCATGACAGCTCTGGTATAGTTCAGTATGTAGAAATTTTGGCAGATATACAAGTGCTTGAGAATTCTGAACCAGGATAATAAATGATATTTATGAATTTTTTGATGCATTCAAGTATTCTACCGTTATCATGTGAGTCTACATCTCTAATTCCTGATAGCATTCCTATAAGTTTTGCAATAAATTAAAATGTCTTGATTTATAGTTCTTAGGGACCTTTGTCTTGTGATTTTGTTCTTTATGAAATGTCTTAGGAGAAAGGCAGAGGACTTTGAAATAAAATGTTGCCATGTTTTATCTTTTGAAATTTTGAGAACTTTTAAGGTTTGCTATTTTATATAGCCTTGTTTTGTTTGTTTCCATACTTTTGTATTTTTATGCCAGATTTAAGAAAGAGAGCTTACTTGTGTCAGTTTGTCAAAGAACTAATTCATAGTTTTCTAACTTCATTTTGAATCACAGTTAATATTAGATTTGGTAAATGCTCTTTGCTATTGATGAAGGAAGTAGATACCCACCCCTCTCTTTTTTTCTTCCAATGGCTGGTTGAGAGCTAAAGAAAGCAGCATTTGTTAAGTACACATGCATTTATGTGGATGCTGAAGAGGCACAGTTCTAGTGCATAGACCTACCCTAACCTCAGAGTTAACAGGTTTTCTATTTGCAAAGACTTTTTGGTCCAGTGTTGCATTTGTTGTGAATTATAACAAATCATAATACAGTTTCTTCTTTTTGCCTATTCTGTAGCTTGATTGCACATTGATCCAACCCTCCTAACAACTAGTCTTCCAAAATTATAAATGGACTCTCCTGATACCACATTCTCCTTCAGTAGTGCTTCACTTGACAAGGTCCTGCTAAGGTAGTAGAATTTGGTTATTTCCGTTTCTGTATCAAAATCTCTGGATGTTGGGAGTTTTTGTTGAAATAAATTGGTTGACATCAAGTGAACCAAAAACCAGGTTCCCGTAATTCTGTTTGCCTTGCCAAGAGCTGTACATAATCCTGTATTTGCCCTGTCAATCCTGCATTTAACAGTATATCTTAGAGCAGGAGTCTCTTATAAAAGCAGTTTTTCTTAAACATACTTTTGAAAGATTAAATACTCCCTAACAACCAAGGGGACTGATTTTAATATTGGCTTACTAGTTCTTTGTGGAAATCTAAGGTCATTTGTATGCTCTGCTAATATACCTTTTAGCTACTGCCTGTTATCTGTTTTTGGCAAAATCCTTAATTCTCTCCATCTCACCATTATTTGCCTCTATGTCACCTAACATCTCTCCTACCCTTCCGTAATGCCCAACAATCTTACTTTTTTTTTTCCTTCAAAATTATTTTGATCCACTCACAGTGGTGCAAATCTGGCATCTGATACTTATCCCAACTCACAGTAATGTATGTATTAGATTGGGGTATTCCTTCATCAGAACTCAGGATCTCCATCTCTGTTTTTAGTTGCTGCCTTACTTTCACATACTATATCACCCCCTTCTCTGTCTTAAAAATAGGTTCAGCTGTGATGGAAAACCCTAAATAACATTAGTTTTTGAAAGTAAAAGTTTATTGCTCTTGCACATAAGACTTATGGCAGGACCAATTCAAAAGTTCCTCAGGGAAGAAGCTTCTTTTGATCCTTTACTTTGTCATCCCTAAGGTGTGTACTCACCTTCTTGGCCTAAATGATGGTAGTATTCCCTTTTCAGGTAACAGGACAGATAAAGAAATTAAGCGAGGGTGAGGCCAGGATGAAAGCCAGAAGTTTCTTAAGGGAGTTCCTGGAAACCATCCATGGACATTTCTGTTTTTATCTTGTTAAGTAAAACTGAGTCATTTCATGAGAAATGGGAAATGCAGCTTTTATTCTGGGACTGGTCAATATGCTCAATTAAAAATGGCATATCGAGAACAAGGGGAGACTCAATATTAGGGGACTATCAGCAGTGTTTCTCAATATTCCTTTTCTTTATTGTACCTGGTTCCCATTTTTTCTGTATAGTGACATCTTGATATAGTGTCCTTGGACAAATCATAATACTTCTTCAAGCCTATATATCTTTTTAATGGGAAATAATGTAAGTAGAAATTCTTTATATCCATTAAACAAATATAAAATACTTTTTTCTAGAAATTTAACATCTTAATTGTTGATTCTTTTAATGGTGTAACTTTATAATTCATTGCCTTCATCAACTAACAGTTTTGATTATATCCTTCAGTTGCATATGGCCATGGGCATTCCTTGGCAATGCCATCTCTAAAAATTTTGGCTTCTGAAATTCCTCCTTCTGTCCATAACTTTTGTAGCCCTATAGTTCTTTCACTGTAATGCTTTTAGAACTTTTTGTCATGATTTCTCATGGAATGGTTGTTCAGTTTTCTTTCTGGTCTGTCTTGCCTCCCTATTCAATCTGGCTCACAAGGTTCACTGATGTTCAGTGATGTTCTTGCTCATATACCCATGGCTGTTTGAGTTCCTCATTGACCAAATATTTATTTATATACATTTTTAAAGAACTAGTCTACTAGGGAAACAAACATAATATAAATTTAGGGAAGAAGAGAGAGCTTGAATTGTGTGGGGAAACTGAGAAGTAGTGGAAGAGTTCCATTAACAAGTGAGTGAGACTGGGAGAAAGAGTGTTTCAACAGTGGGCACAGTGTATGCAGAACCAGGACTCAATAGATTATACAAAGGACAAGTGGTTTGGTATTTCTGGGATATAAAGTGCGAAGTGAGAGTCATAGAAAATGAGACTGGACAAATAAGCAGGGTCTAATCACAGAGGGCCTTGTCAGAGATTTAGATATGATCTTATAAGGCAATAGTTCATTGTCCATTTTTCCCCTATATAGCTATAAAACTATGTAGTACACATTGTAGACATTGCCATATCAAACTCAGATCCTTATAAATGGTATAGTTTCACAAATAAAATGTATTTCAGTTATGCATAGTTTCTAGTGTATTGGCTGTATGATGCCACCCTCTTTTCACAACTGATCCAAGACCACATATAGATAGAGAACTGCTGATATAGGCAGGTAATGATGTGATAAAATCTGCTTGCTAGAAAACTCTTGAGAGACAGTGGGTAGAACAGGGTGGGGAAAATTATCCTCCATCTCTTTCTGAAACTTTTCCCCTTGATTTGTTTAACATTGTTGTCTCTTGGTTTTGTTACTGTCTCTTGCAGCTGCTTCTTGTAATCTTTGTCAGTTTTTTTCTTCCACTTAGTTGTTCTTCAAATTGAGGATCCCTTTAAAAGTGAATGTTGGCCTTTATCTCTCTATTACATTTTCTCCTCCATGATCTTATTTAGTTTGTCGCTTCTTTATAAGTGATCCCAATTTGAATTAAGGCCTGGTTCTCTTTAGTTCCATTTGCCTATTTCTGATTGCCTACATGACATTTCCAGCTCAGAGTACCTCTGTCTTTAAAATATACCATGTTTGATTTTTGTGTGTATGTTTTTTGTTTGTGTTAGTGGTATCATGTCCTCATCCTGCAAACTCAATATCTGATAACCATCTTAACTTCCTCCCTGTTTTCTCCATTCCCATGGCTGACAACCTAGTTTAGAACCTCCTTACCTTTACCTGATTTATTATAGCAATGACCTAGTTTCATCCATATCTAGTCTTGTTTCCCTCCTTCCATTCTATATACTATTGCCAGATTTTTCTCCTGTTTGTAGAGAAAAAATTTTTAACCACTATTAAAAACTGTTATTGATCATGCCTAAACTTTAAATTGTATTTTTCCCTAGTGTTTTTTGCTTACATATATATACTTCAAACAGAAAAAATAATTATTCCCTATATGATCCTTAAGTTTTCTAATCATGATTTTGCTGCCATGGTACCTTCAGCTATGTTCCCTTTCTCCATTTCTACATGCCACCCATGATTTTCAGCCTAACTCAAATGGAATTTCTCAGCTAGAAATATATATATATATTCTCTCTAAAAAAAAAAATATATATCTGTAGAGCTCCCACATACAAGAGGTAGAGACCCGGAGAAAAAATATAAAAAATCTATGTCTAAGTTTCCACATTATGAAATTGGAGTGATAATATAGTTAATCTTTTCTGAGACACATTTTTTACATTTTAACATTACTGAAATACAAACTGATTGAATTATGTGTCATAGCTCAATTGGTAGCTTTTTCTTTCTTAGTGGTATATAAGGTAAAGTGTATCTCATACTTGATGGCATCCTAAATTTAGTGAAATACAGTAACAGTCGTGTTGTTAGAATTAAAAGATTTTTATGTAAATACATGGCACAGTCACAAAGTAATGCTAAATTTAGAATGTTACCTGTTATAACTGGTATAGGATATCCCTGATCAACAGCTTCATAGAATTCTAGAAACAAGTAAAAGTCATTCAGTTGAACTCTTATTTCTAAAGTTGTTGGATAGTTTACATTTTGTGACATAAAAATGCCAAAATTGGTTATGAAAGGAAAGAAAAATTAAACACATCAGCTGTATCTAATACACATTTGTTAAAAAATAGATGAGATCAATTATTTTGTAAACTTTGTTATAATGAGCTTTCAGTGCTTTTTCATCATGGGCTGGACTGATTGAGATCTAATATAGTATAATATGAATTCAATGCATCCTTCGTCTTCCTGACCAAACACCTTTTTGGTAATCATAGATGTTCACCATTGCTTCAAGTACCTTACATTGCAATTAATATGAAGACATCCATCTTAAAAATGTGTTGATTATATATATATTTATGATGGCTTTGGGCCGTTCTGATACTAAAAGCCAAGTAGTTTCCGTAATGATTTCTTGAGTGATTCCTTGCTCTTTCATTTCACAAAGTCTGCAGATCTGCTGCCACTGCAGATACCAGTGCTTCCCAGGTAGGAAGTAAGACATAGGCTTTCCTGACAGGCTTAAGCGGCCTTCCCTATAGCTTGAAGTTTCCTTGGTTTTCATCTGGTTTTGAATCTGTTCCTTTGTGTCTCTCCTTTTCTTCCATTAGTTTAGTCCGTCTTTCATTAAGCCAATATTTATTGATTCTGCCAGGCATTGATCTAGGAGGTTTCTAGAATTTTTATAATATTTTTTGGGGAAAAAGATGATAAAAAGATGTAATTTTAGTTAGGTATGAAGCTGTAAAATAATTTATAAAGTTTTCTTATGTAAATGTTGACTTACATGTCTCATTTAATAAACTATAAGCAATTAAATGTTTTGATTCAAAACTAATTCCTTTTATAATTCCATGAAAGATGATGGAGGCTTAATAAGTATCTATGAAAGGATTAAGTTTGATTACACTTAAGAAAGTGGAAAAGAACAAGAAGTATGAAAGTCAATGAATATCATGAATACCAGCGGGCAGTGTCTGGTGCCAAACATCATCAAACTCTTTACTTTCTGTTTGAGGTTTTTAGGAGTTGAATTTTTCATGTGTAGGTAATAAAAGTTAAATTACTTAATGCTTCATTTGGTAAAACATAAAGATAGGTATTTCTTTGTAAATTAAAGAAAACTCATTTAAATAGAAAATTAATATAGTTTTTATCATTTCAATATTCTGGTCAGTCTGTATTTCTGGAAATGAAAATATAGGCTAGGAAGCAGTTTGAAGCCTGGGTAATGATCTAATGCTAAAAAGGAAAAAATCTGCCATAGGAAGCAGAATAATAACATCTGTGTGTATTTTCTTGCAGTATTATCGGAAAATCCACCCAGCTTCACCATTACTGTGACATCTGAGGCCGGAGAAAATGATGAAAGTAAGTGTTATAAAAGTACTTGTGGTAACCTTCTTTCTCAGAACTTTCACTGATTCTGTAGCCATTGTGCTAGGCATTGCAGGTGTGAAAGTGCCAAGGTGCTATTAAGAATCTAACATGAATGATGTGTTTCTAATTGGTATTTCCTGTGTACACATAACTCCTAGAAAAATAGGAAGTCAATGAGATATAGTCTTGCACAATATGCTTCATTTTACAAGTAAAAGAGACACATTAGCAGTATAGCAGATGGAGAAATGGGGGGAGATTTTTGCCTAAAATAAGACTTTGCATACAAATGTTTTTCAGTGATCATATGTTATTCCATTGAGTGACTAGTATTTTTCATACTAAACATGTAGATTGTTATTTGTCATACTAAACATTGTAGATTGTTAATTTATAACACTACTGTTATAAATGAGACTGGATATATACATATCTTCATATTTTCTCTCTTAAAATAAAACAGCTATAAAACCAATAAGTTAAAATTAAATTCACTTAAGTTTGGTGGATCATCAAGGAGATGGCATCTGAAATTCATTTCTACCTTTAGTCTAGTTCAGTTAAAATAGTGCCTTGACAGAAGTGGTATATAAATTGGCATTAATCCCAAGATTTTTTTTTTCCCTGTTAGGCTGGTAAGTAAGAACTGTTAATGGTCTCGCTTGATAACTCTGAATCTGTCTTGTACCTTTGAAAATAAGGTGAGCACTGAAATATTGTGAAATCTGAATGAAAAAGATGTTGGATATAGTTATTTTTTTACCGAATTGATAATGAACGTACTCTTATAGGTAGGTCAATAAAAAATGCCTATACTATATCCCAGGAAGAGTAAATACTGTGCCCTCTGCTCTTCACTATTTGAAACTTTTCTTTATAAAGAAGTTGGTGATATTATTTGGGTTCATATGATGCAGTTTTGTGTGCCAGAATTGGTGTGACAGTGCTCATTGTTAAAAGAATCCAGAAATATAGTTTTCTTTAAGAGTATACTTAAATGAAAAATAAAATTTAAAAATTCCTACATATCGTTCCCATATTCTAAGCAATAGTTTTATTAGGAGCTAATAATAGCTTTGTAATAATATTTCTATACAGTTC